ACCAGCCTCTGAAATTCCTCCCTGTGCGTCTATCCCGGCAACCACAAACCTGCCCCCTTCTCTATGAGTGAAGGCAGTTACTGGCCAGAGGACTTCTCAGCCTCGTAAGTAAAATAAGAATTGTTCCTTTTGTGGCCACAACTGCCCATTAAAAACTGTCAAAAATGTCACCATCATCCCCCTGTGGGACGGATCCCTCGGTCAGTCAGCAGCGGAGAGAGAAACATACAGTAAAGAACAAGACACAGATAGCCTTTTGTGCTTAAAAAGAATTAGCTGTGTACTTATCACAAACAGATGAATAAATAAATGCACACGCGAAAGAACAAATGGCATGAAGATCAGGGAAGGATGACAAGTTAACACATGTAATTGCTGCCCTCGCTGACATCGCAAAACCACCAAATAAGGGGACACATTGGTCTCCAAGCCAGTGAAAATCTGGAAACATGTTTGGCTTCGTTATCAGCCAGATCCCTTGGATACAGTGTCAAACGAAAGGGCAGAACCTTGTGGAGAGGTTCAGATACAGTTTCCTCATCCACAGATTGTGTTCTTGGAATTAAATAATTTCCCTGGGAGATGTTCAGACCTAGTAATTTCAGATGTCAGAGCCAACCCTCATGTCCTGTAGGGTCCTATGAACCACCAAAAGAACTCATAGAACTGAGCAAAGCTGTTAGACACTCAGCTGCGGCATGTTAAAGAGAAAGGAGCACTGGGGAGAATCCAGAGACACCAGCACGGCTTCCAGTTACCCTCTCCAGGGGGTTACCTTCTCCCGGTGGGGTTACCCTCTCCCAGCAGGGTTACCCTCTCCCGGCGGGGTTACCCTCTCCTGGAGGGGTTACCTTCTCCCGGCGGGGTTACCTTCTCCCAGTGGGGTTACCCTCTCCCAACAGGGTTACCCTCTCCCGGCGGGGTTACCCTCTCCCAGTGGGGTTATCCTCTCCATGGGGTCACGCAGACTACACTTATCCCCAGCAAACGTGTATGATACTCGCAAAGTGTTGCCAGCCAGGGAAGCTCACCTAAGCCTGGGTGCCTGGTGTTTTCGTTGTGGGTCAGTCCTGTAGCCATTGTGACAGCCCACATGGCTGGCCTCAAGCTCTCCAGGGTTCAGCCGAGATGACTACCCAAGGCCCCACCATAAACATTATTAGCATTAACTATCTGGCGTGCCCCAAGGCCCAGAGATAGAGATACTGTGAGCAGGCAGATATTCCAAAAGCTTGGAAGTCACCTCACAGACACTAAGCTGAGGCCAAGCCTGGCTTTGAATGTGCAGAGGTTAGACAATCCAGACTTGCTGAGCCATCCTTAACACACAGTGTGTCTCCACCGAGTCTCAGAACAGCCAGACTTCCACTCCGGGGCTACGGTTCCCAGAGCAAACATCCTAATGAGAAACCACGTGGTGTTACCTCACCTGGACTTGGAGGCCACACGGCTTAACTCTTCATTCTGTTCACCTGTCATGAAGGCGCCCAGGGCTGGGGGCTGGGACATAGACTCCACCCAGGATGGGAAAATATCAAAGCATCCAGACAGATTTTCAAACCCCTCAGTCACGAAGCCATGGAGAAAGCTCTCCTGTTATCTCCAGACTACTAATAGCAATTGTTTCTTTTTGCTTCAGCCTCAGGAGAAACTGTTTTCAAGTCAAAAGAAATAAACACAGACAGTGCTTCTTTCAAGGGGAAATGGAGAGTCAGGCTGCAAACAGACCTTCCTCCTGGCCTGAAGGGAAGCCTTACCTGAGGGACAGCATTACCGCCAGGTGTGGGTGACGCCGCCAGGAGATGCCCCCATCCCTCGAGGACCCACTGTGCCCGGGTCCCTCTACCAGATTCCCCAGAAGGAGTTGGTCTGGCCACAGGACCTGCCGACTAGATTTCCCTTTTTATTTCCTGTTTTTCTTTATTCTCTCACTTCTAACCCTGTGCATAGAATTTTGTATAAATATCTTCCTTAAATGCCATCTGTCCCCTTAGAAACAACGTCTGTGTAACATACGTGACAGACGTCTTTGTGAGGAAACACCTTGACCTGGATGTGAGGAAGGGAACTGAGGGACCTTTGCTTCCTGCCCATGATCTTCTGTCCTGATTATCCCCCTGATTAAAAAAAAAAAATCAATATCTGACTTATTCCATCCAGCATTTACATTTAACTCACCAGCTTGGTTTCAGACTCTGAGAAACTGAAGGACGCCAAACCTCAGAGAAGACAGCTTGGCCTTGGGGAGAAAGCACAGAATGACCAATCCAGGGGCCTCTCACCTGGCTCTGGGGTGGATCCCACTGTCTCCGCAGATGGGAATTTCTTCAGGTGGCTCTGACCAACGAGCAAGAGCTCAGGTGTCCAGAAAACTCCTCCCCTTCATGGCCGTCTCCTGTCTGGAGATCAGTAGCACCACT